CTATCCTAGTTTCTTTCCTTGGACCATTTTTAATTGACTCATGTCTTTCCATCTAGTATTTATATTCTATAGATATAAAGAAAATATGGATCTGTACGTACATATCTGCATCAGTATCTATATAGCTATACATAACATATGCAACTGTGTATGTGTGTATATCTTCCCATTCTGTGAGCATATTATGTCCTTTGATTACTTTATTATAATTTCAAAAATTGAGACATTCTACAATTTTGAAAAGTATACAAGAAAAACATATTAGCAAAATTAGGAATAAATTGACTAAATGAATATGCATACCCCCACTCTCCAGGTCTCAAAACGGATACTGTTAGAATTCCCAAAGCAATTCGGGACATTTCCTAATCTTCTCTCCTCTCTAAAGGTTATAAAGATCCTGATTTTTCTAATTATTTACTCAGTAAAATTTTACTGAAGTATATAACCTATTAACAAAAATATGTGCATAAAATTGTACAGCTCAAAAGACTTTCTACACTGAACACAACCATGTAACCAGCACCAGATCTAGGAAACACAGTATTACCAGCACCTCACAATCACCCCAACTTACTTTGCACTCACTGTCCCTCCTAAGGAAAGTCACTACTTTGTATGGATCATTTCTGACAGATTTGAAATGTTATATAAGTGGAATTATAATATATGCACATTTTTTCTGCCTGACTTTTTGTGTTCATTGTTACTGACTTCCAGGATTCACAGATATTGCTGCTTATAGTGGTAAAATGTTGATTCTCATTGATGCTTACTATAGTATTACATAGAAATAACAGCTATGAATGCATTCTCTTCCAGTGGGCGTCTGGGTAGTTTGCAATTTGGGTTATTAGGAATAGTGCTCCTATGAATAGTCTACAACATATCTTTTGGTCAACATATGTTTCCCTATCTCTCAGATATGTGCATACATGGGGTGTGTCAAAGCTTGTTCATAGCATATGCCCACATTTGATATTAGTAAGTAATTCCAATGAATTTACTAAGTGGTTATAACAATTATATTCCTGATAGTGGATGAGAGTCTTGGTTGTTGCATATCTTTGGTATTTTTTCTTCTTTTTATATAGTTGTTCTTTTTTTTAAAATTTAACTTCACTTGACAAATGATAATTACATATTTGGGGTATTTTCTTCTTTTAAATGTTTTATTTTTAATTATTATGGGTACATAATAGTTGTATATATTTATAGGGTACATGTGATGTTTTGATACAGACATACAATGTGAATTAATCAAACCAGGGTAATTGGAATATCTATCACCTCAGACATTTATCATTTCTTCGTGTTAGGAAACTTCCAATTCCACTCTCTGAGTTATTTTAAAGCGTACCCAAACTTATTTTTGATGATAGTCACTTTGTTGTGCTATCAAATATAGTTCATTCTATCTAACTATATTTTTGCACCGCTTAACCATCCCCACTACATCAGGCCCTCCCTGCTACCCTTCCCAGCCTCTGGTAACCATCATGGTATTCTGTCTCCACGAGGTCAATTGTTTTTAATATTTAGCTCCCACATATAAGTGAGAACATATGAGATTTGTCTTTCTGTGTCTGGCTTATTTCACTTAACATAGTGGTCTTCAGGTCCACCTATGTTGTTAGAAATGGCAGGATTTCATTCTTTTTTATGGCCATATGATAATCCATTGTGTATATGGACAAAAATTTCTTTATCCATTCATCTGTTGATAGACACTTAGGTTGATTCCAAACCTTGGATATTGTGAATAGTGTTGTAATAAACATGAGAATACAAATATCTTTTTGATATACTGAATTCCTTTCTTCTGAGTATATATCTAGCAGTGGGATTGCTGAGTCATACAGTAGTTCTATTTTTAGTTTTTTGAGGACCGTACATGCTGTTTTTCACAGTGGTTGCACTAATACACATCACCACCAACATTGTACAAGGGTTCCCCTTTCTCCACATTCTTGATAACATTCATTATTGGTTGTCTTTTTGAGAAAAGCCATTTTAACTGAGGTAAGATGATATTTCATTGTAGTTTTATACTCCATTCCTCAAAATGTGGTTTATTTACTATTAGTTTCTAATAAATATATAGATTTGCATTTTGCCATGTTTTTCCAAGTTGCGTTCAGAATAAACACTGTATCCAACAGGTTTTTTAAAAATAATCTACAAAGTTTTTAATAATATGGAATACAAATAATCTGTGCAGAGTTCATTCTTCTGTAATTTTCATAAAACTCATTTTATGATACTTATTGAAACTTAAGGAGATTGTATTCTAACTTATTTAATTAAGTTAATTGAAGTCGAATATCCCTAGGAAAATCTAATTACACATATTGTCTATCATTATGGCAGTCCTTTCCTATCTACAGTTTTGCTTCCACAGTTTCAATTACCCATAGTCAACTGAGAATTGAAAATATTACATGGAAAATTCCAAAAATAAACAATTCATAAGTTTTATATTGCATGCTCTTCTGAGTAGAATGACAACATCTCACTCCAGCTCACTCATGAAATGAATCATCCCTCTGTCCAGTGTATCCATGCCGTATATGCTTCTCTCATTAGTTACTTAGTAGCTGTCTTGGTTCTCAGGTTAACTGTTGTGGTATCACAGTGCTTGCATTCAAGTAATCCTTATTTTACTTCATAAGTACAAGAACAATGATGATTTCAATTTGGATATGACAAAGAGAAGCTGAGAAGTGCTTTTTGACTTAAGGAAAGTTTCACTTAATAAGGAAAGAACTTACACACTGGTATTGCTAAGACCTGTGATAAGAACAAATCTCCAATACATGAAATTGTAAATAAAAAAAGAAATCTGTGCTAATCTTGCTGTTGCACCTCAAAATGCCAAAGTTATGGCCATAGTGCATGATCAGTGCTTTGTTAAACACTAAGCTTAACTAAAAGTCATTAAATTTGTGGGTGAAAGACATGAACAAAAAAACATGTTCTGACTGATAGCAACGTGTTGTGCTAGAAAACACTGAGCCTATACAAGGACTTCAACAAGGATTTCTCTGGAAAAAAAATGACACCAAGTCATTTATTGCAAGTAAGGGATGGTTACACAGATTCAGGAAGAGGTTTGGACTGAAAAATATAAAAACTCCTGTGTCTTCTGAGGGAAAAGAAACTGCCACATTTCCAGCATAGTTGAAGAAGTCACTTAAGAAGAAAATATACCATCCAAAGGAAGTCTTCAATTGTGATAAAAGTAGGCTCTTCTGGAAGAAGATGTCCAATAGAACTTATATTCATAGAAGTGTGAAGAAGGCACCATGGCATAAAACATGGAAAGGGCAGTTAGTAACTGTTATTAATCTCTCGCTGTGCCTAATTTATGAATTAAACTTCATTTCAGATATGTATGTACAGGAAAAGACATAGCATATGCAGGTCTTGGTACTATCTGCAGTGCCAGACGTCCACCGGGGTCTTGGAATGTACCCCAAGGATAAGGAGGGACTACTGTAATTTCAATAAAGACACCATTCAAGAAAACTCTTAGATTTCTTTAATTAGCTCCATATAAGAGAACGTTCTATTTTGCTTTAAAAATTAAATTTCTACTTACCAGATGTCTGAAAATTTCCATCATCAATACTGCCCCCTGGTGAACCAATCTGGAATTTACAATCTGGAGGCCTGTGGCCAGGAAAGCATTGGCAGTTTCCAAAATTATTACATATCTGAAAAAATACAGAATGTCTTTGAGTCAACTGGCCCAAAAATGTACAAACAGCTCTTAAAACTTAAAAATTAGAAAACAATCCAATTTTAAAAAAATAGGCAAAAGATCAGGACACCTCACCAGAGAAGATACACAGATGGCCAGTAAGCAGGATAAAAGATGCTAAACATCATGTGACACTAGAGAGTTGCAAATTAAAATAGCAGTGGGTTACTACTAAGCAATAATTAGAATGTTTAAAATCCAAAACCCTGAAAACACCAAAAGTTGGTGAGGATGTCAACCAACAGAAACCGTTATTCATTGTTGGTGGGAATGCAAAATGGTGCAGCCACTTTGAAGGACAGCTTGGCAATTCCTTACAAAACTAAACATGCTCTTCCCATACAGCCCAGTAATTTTGTGCTCCTTGATATTTAGCCAGCTGATTTGAAAAGTTACGTTCACACAAAATCCTGCACGTGAATGTTTATAGAAACTTTATTCGTAAGTTCCCCATATTGAAAGAAACCAAAATATAAAATGCATAAACAAACTGTGGTATGTCTGTATAACAGAATATTATTCAGTGACTAAAGACAGTGAGCTATAAAGCCATGAAAAGACATGGAAGAATCTTAAATGAGTATTATTAAGAGACAGTAAAAAGATCATTGGTTGGTAGGAGCCTGGGAGGGGGAAGAAGGGTTAAATATGTGGAGCACAGGGCATTTTTAGGGAAGGGAAATTCTTCTGCATAATACTGTAATGATAGAAATATGCAGTTATATATATTTTAAGACCTATAGAACAAACGCGTTAACCCCAATGTTGCAAGATGCAAAATGATAGGGAAAACTGGAGGGCAGAAGCTCTGTACTTGGCGCTTACTTTTTTGT